TTCAGGATCATGGCCTTCTTGAGGAATTAGATTAGGCCTACCTACTCGGTGGTAAAACGTGTCATGGATTTTGAAATTGTAGATCCCCTGAGTGACCCTCTCATCAAAATGAGCTTTAATGCTGACCTTGGCAAAGGCGGAATTGAATTGACAAATTTTATCCAGATAATTTCTGGATCCAAGCTTCACAGCCCTGTTTTCAGATTGGGAGTTTCCAATAAGTTCCTGAAATTATGGTGAATTCCGCAAATAAATGAGGTAAACGAACCGATTGGATGTATCACCACGGCGGTACTGCCACTCTGTATCCGTCAAATTGGGAGGTTGATGCAAGCGGTCACAATTGCGTTCCTTTCAGCCACTCACAGTTCTTCGTCTTATTGGTAGCATTTAATTTTAAATTTAGATAAAATACGAAAGTAAAACAATCAACAAAAACGCTTCAAAGGAATTTTGATACACATTGTAAATTACATGATAATATGGTAATGTAACGGGTAACTGAACTGTGAATAATCACTTTCAAACATTCACTTAATTACACCGAACTGTAACCAAAACTACATAATTCAGTAAAATACGATGTAAGGTAAATAAGTTCAACTATTACAAACAATTTGTTGTCAGGTCTTGCTAGGATACTCTTTATTTATGAACTCAGACTTAGTTAACAGATGTTTAAATAAAAATATAAAATTCTAGCTTTGCTCTGGAAGTAATAAGTCTTGCAGTCTGTGGTTAAACTTAAAAACTATTTCAAACTATGTCCATATGTTTAGTTGTAAACAAAGGGAATTGAGTTTGATGGTTTGATCTAATGTCAACAGATAGCACCACCGTTCCCAAACTTTAGCCCTTTACTGTACTTAAGTGATGCCTTTTCTTAATATTCTGAGACGTATTTGTAAATCTACGTAAAAATACCTTTAATTTGACACCTCAAATGTTAAAATCCGTCAAACCGTTATTGAGTTATGACTGTGTAAAGAAACCTGCTTGCGTATTAATATATAGATACTCTTTGTGCCATTTTTTTACAGTTGAAGTGTAGTGTTATTTAAAAAATCTCGTGAGCAAGTGGGCCACGGTACGTAATAAGCCACTACAAATCATCTGTCAAGATAGGTACTATTTCAGGCAAGGTTTCTGAGTTTGGATGTTATTAGACACAATAAAAGCACAATGATCTTCTGCAGATGAATAATCTGTTGGTTAAGAGAAATATATGCTGAATTATTATAAATGTCACAATCCAAGCACATTTAAATGGCTGTGACCTGAACCTTTTCGTAGTATCAAGTTTGAGCAATTTTCTATGTAATTATCTGAGTAAGTAAGTGCGCTGCTGCTCAGTGCAATTTGAGAACATTTTTTTTAGCTAAATTAAATGGTTTCTAGTAAACATGCACAGCCCTTCCGTTAGGCTAATAACATTTAAAGGTTCAAGTTCTTGTATATATATCTTATATATTAAAAGAATTTGGTTTTTCTTTTCTGAGTCGCTTGGCTCTTCTACCCGACCGATTTTCATGATTGGGGTCTCAAATTGGAGGTATTCACGCACAGATTTGCCATCAAGCATCGGCATATAATTATCTATAGTCTCACTCGGTTCATACGTAAACGAAATTTGCTCTCCATGTATTTCCTATTGGAGTTATATTTGGTTTCTCTTTAGCGCTAATAAGGTTTATGTTACCTGGCTTCTGTCTCAGATCCACGGTAGTTTTAAGAAACTACAGCAGTTTCATGCCCTCTATTGGCACATCCTCAGGTTTGGTGAACGCCAGCTTTTCTATAAAATATCCCTCGGTGTTGAGTTCGTCATGGTTTTACGAAATACGTGTAGACATTTACACACAGGAAAACACGCACGAAACATTTTAACACTAATAATTAAGGAACGACTGCAAAACGTAATGCGGCGCCAGTGAAGGGTAAGTCGCGACTGTCATGTGTCGGCAGCGTTGACTCCTACCCCTGTTCTATCCTTATCTATTCTTTCTTTGGTTTGGTAATCAGATATCAGGATGGCTGTGTTGTAAATTATATTAGACTCAAATGACTGTTTTTCGTTCAAAATATGATGTGGTTGTTCTTTTGATGCCTTATATATTTTGTATTCTTCTATCGTATCCATATGGCGTCCTTTATTGCAAAAGTGTAAAATATCTAGATTATTGTGAATGTCTGTATGGTTATGGTTTGTGGCTGTTAGGTGGTTAGAAAAAGCTGATTTAGAGTTCTTTTTCGGTAGGTGCTTTTTAAATCGGTTTGTGAAAGATCTGGCAGTTTGTCCTATGTAAAAGCTGGGACAGTTGTCACATTTTAATCTATAGATTCCGGTTTTGTTCTTGTTATCTGTGTGGGACCTGTTCTTGACTCTGACCAATGACGACAGCTTGTTTGTCGTCTTAAACGATACTGTTATATAATTTTTTGCCAGTTCTTTTCGCAGAGTAACATTTAAAACTACACCGAATTCAGCGCTAACGTATTTTTTGTTATTTTCTTTGGAGGTTACTTCGGTTTGGTTACGGTGTTTTGAGATCAATTTGTCTATAAGGTTGCTACTGTATCCATTTGACACTGCAATATGCTTTAGTATCTTAACTTTGTTATTGTAGTTGGTTGGGTTGAGTGGTATGGTGAGTAGACGATGGACAAAACTATTGTAGGCGGATAATTTGTGGCTATAGGGGTGGTGTGATGATGAAGGGATAGTTTGGTCAGTTGTAGTCGGCTTCCTGTAGATATTGAATTCTAAGTTAAGTTACTGTCTTTTCTTGTAATAGTGAGGGCCAGGAAATTAATAGACTTGGATACTTCCGTTTCAAGAGTGAATTTAACTAGATAACCTGTTGCTCGAAATCGAGCAAAACTGCAAATTGTAATAAAATAATGAAGAACAAAAACATAAACTGCAATACTTCAATCATAGAGTCACTATAAAGTATGGTAATTTCTATGACTGATTAAAAAATAAGAAAAATATTATGTTGTAAAAAATTATAAAAGTAATCTACGGTACAATATTTAAATATAGATCCGTTCTTATACTGCTTTGGTTATCTCTTATGTACTGTAGGCGGGTTCCCTCTATGAGAACGTAGATGTCAACCACACGGCACACACTGTAAAGTGAGCTTTTCAGACCTAATGTAGCAAGCTAAATCCCTCTCTTGACGCCAACCAGTACGACATGTACTATAGCATTGTTACATTATTTCTACGATATATTCTGTTTTAGGCGGGTTTAAATTAGGTGCCCCAACCAAAGTCTCCGGTTGGGAACATAAGAGTGGATTTAACAACGTATCTAGAACGGATTCTTCACTTCTTTTGTCTCTTACTATGCACATAAGAATCTAACTTGACTCCTCGGAACTCTCGTCCCTACAAATTTCTGCCACAGTTTTAAAAGATTGGGCAAATGGGATGGCATTGTGTCCCTATTTTCAGCATATTTTTTCATTGCATTTTTTGTTTGAATTGTTTTACATGCACTGTTGGGTTCCATTGCCAACGTCGTACTTATAGATCTGTGCGTATTCAGGATCATGGCCTTCTTGAGGAATTAGATTAGGCCTACCTACTCGATGGTAAAACGTGTCATGGATTTTGAAATTGTAGATCCCCTGAGTGACCCTCTCATCAAAATGAGCTTTAATGCTGACCTTGGCAAAGGCGGAATTGAATTGACAAATTTTATCCAGATAATTTCTGGATCCAAGCTTCACAGCCCTGTTTTCAGATTGGGAGTTTCCAATAAGTTCCTGAAATTATGGTGAATTCCGCAAATAAATGAGGTAAACAAACCGATTGGATGTATCACCACGGCGGTACTGCCACTCTGTATCCGTCAAATTGGGAGGTTGATGCAAGCGGTCACAATTGCGTTCCTTTCAGCCACTCACAGTTCTTCGTCTTATTGGTAGCATTTAATTTTAAATTTAGATAAAATACGAAAGTAAAACAATCAACAAAAACGCTTCAAAGGAATTTTGATACACATTGTAAATTACATGATAATATGGTAATGTAACGGGTAACTGAACTGTGAATAATCACTTTCAAACATTCACTTAATTACACCGAACTGTAACCAAAACTACATAATTCAGTAAAATACGATGTAAGGTAGATTAATTATTACAAACAATTTGTTGTCAGGTCTTGCTAGAAAACTCTTTATTTATGAACCCAGACTTAGTTAACAGATGTTTAAATAAAAATATAAAATTCCAGCTTTGCTCTGGAAGTAATAAGTCTTGCAGTCTGTGGTTAAACTTAAAAACTATTTCAAACGACGTCCATATGTTTGTCTTTAAACAAAGGGAATTGAGTTTGATGGTTTGATCTAATTTCAACAGATAGCACCACCGTTCCCAAACTTTAGCCCTTTACTGTACTTAAGTGATGCCCTTTCTTAATGTTCTGAGACGTATTTGCACATCTACGTAAAAATACCTTTAATTTGACACCTCAAACGTTAAAATCCGTCAAACCGTTATCGAGTTATGACTGTGAAAAGAAACCTGCTTGCGTATTAATATATAGATACTTTTATGTACATTGTGTTGAGGTATGCTTTGAGTACGTTGATTTGTATATTGTTACCATTGAACAATACAAGCATGTCGTCCACGTATCTTCTGTAAAAAACTATTTTGCTACGTTGGCGGTTCGAGTCCGACCAAAAGTGTTGATTTTCTAAGTTTTTCAGAAATAATTCGGAGAGAATACTTGAAACTTGAGAGTGGCGATCCCATCGTTAACCCTTCATTCTGTTTATGATATTCGTTCTCAAATGTGAAGTAGCTCTGTTTTAGGATACAGCGCACTAAATATAAAAATAATGTAAATATTAAGCTTCAATAATCTTACAAATTTATTTAGATACTGTAAAACAGGCTAATTTTGAGTTTGAAAATCTTATTTGTATTATACTGTAGGCCTGTTTAACAATATAAATTGATTTTGTTTTTATCTGTTTTCAGGATACTCAAATAACGTGTTTTGTAAATGTGATGTCATGGTGCAAGATTGGAGTTCCAATTCAACCATCAGCACCGATACCTCTTTATGGAGGCGTAAGTGTGCCTTTAAGTGACAAACACTTTCGAGACGGCCAAGAAAAGCCTTTGGTATTTGCTGTCATGGTTAATCCTGAAATTCTCAAACATAGCGGGAAGATGGCTCCAAATCCACAAGCAAGTATTTTTTTTTTTTTTTTGCTATGTATAGTATAAGCTTTTTGAATGAGTTTCTACTATCAGGTTTTCATTTTTAATCAAAGATCCAAAGTAGACCACTCAATTGTATAGTAAGATAAATGCAGGAAAGGAAAATAACTTGAGAATATGAAATATAGATTTTAAAAATGGCAAGTATACTAAAAAAAAACTTATATTTTAATACTTTTAAATTAAAATGGCAACCATACGAAGGTACTCAATTCGTGACCTCCAAGTAGCTGGATTACAGGACAATGTCCCACGGTCCCAGTCTTAATAGCTAAGGTATCATACCTAATGTAACCCTTGTTTTGGTAGTGCACACTCCTAAACCATAGACATTGATATTTGCTAGTCTTAGTTCCTAACGTAATTTATATTTTTCTCTACCTTTGTATTGTGTGTATTTCCATTATCTACCACCCAAGGATCCCCGTTTACTGCTACCACTAATCATTAATCATTCATTTATCATCACGATATAAATGCAAAAATTCAGCCTCACAGGCAGATCTTCTGTGTAGAAAGAGTTCAGTATAATTGAGGTCTGTTGTTTCTTAGGATCTGTAGGTACATTTAAAAACTAAACCCATTTTACCAACGCCAAGTTAAGTTTTTATATCTTTTCATAATACAGTAAGTAGGGATGTGCGATTCTTGATACCACAGATTCTTGGACATTGGTATGGTATCGGTATCATGTATTGATCGTCAAGAGTTGATACCAATATTGATACCTGACCTGTCTGCAAAGTTCACACAGTCAAAAGATTTATTCTTTCGCCGTGATAATAGATGACATTAATAACGTATCTCGGATCACGTACAAATTATAATGTGTACATTCAAGGGACATCATAATTTTGCCGTGACAATAGACAATAATCTTTATTCTTTATTGACATGTCCGTTGAGAACAGTAATAATAACTGCGTCAGAATAATAACTAAAATTTGTGGATTCAATATGTTGTTAAAGCTGGTTGTCAAGGAATTCTTTTTCTGAGTAGAATGGCCTTTCTTGCAGCCATGTTGTTAATTGGTTCTTGAAACGGTGAGTTTGTTCATTTCTAAGTTGTTCTGGTTGGTTGTTGAAATACAGGGCCCCTTTGTAGGATGGCTTCTTTTCAAAGAGACTTAGATGGTGAGGTGGTATTGCAAAGCTTGAGGCGTTCCGTGTATTGTGATGGTGAATGTCTCTGTTTCTTGTTTGATTTGTGGAGATGGCATGGAGAATTGCCTCACGGATGTAAAGTGATGTCAGTGTAAGGATTTTTAGTTCCCTGAATGCATCACGACTGCTTCCTTGGTATTGAAGGTCTGCTAGACATCTTATAGCTCTTTTTTGGTGGATAAGGACTCTTTTTAGATAGTTGTTGGATGTACTTCCCCAGACCACCAGACCATACCTTAGGTGTGACTCGACCAGGGCATGGTAGGCTGTTTTTGCGGTGTCCAGACCACCAACCTGCTTCACTCGCCTGATGACATAAATGCCAGAGCGTAGCTTCTTGCAGAGTTGGTCAATGTGCTGTTTCCATGTCAGTTTTGAATCCATGATAATGCCGAGATATTTGGTACTATTTTGTGCATCTATCACAGGGATTAATATGTTTGTGTCTTTATTTTTAGTAGAGTAGTTTAGCTGAACAGTTTTATTTTCATTTAGAGCCAATTCGTTTACTGTGCAATATTGTTTAGTCATGTTGAAGCTTGTATTGATGTTTCGGTTTAAAGTTTCCGTTGATTTGTCAGTTAATGTGATGACAATGCCATCTGCATACATTGTGGTTTGGCAGTATTCTTGTAGCTGGTCTGGTAGGTCATTTGTTAGGAGGAGGAACAGGACTGGTCCGAGAACTGATCCCTGTGATACTCCTCTCCGTATAGGGACAATTTCGGAATGTATTTTATGGCAAGTGTTTTTTTCTACATGCTGGATCTCAACTAGTTGCTGTCTGCCATTAAGATAACTGTGGAACCATTGTTTAGACTTTCTCTCAATACCCAGAGCTCCCAATTTTCTAAGAAGTGTCTTGTGGTTAAGGCAGTCAAAGGCCTTGCTAAAGTCCAGAAACAGACTTGTGACTGAGGAGCCATTTTCTAGTTGTTCTATTATGTGCTCGGTGAGCTGTATTAAGGCAGTGGAAGTGGATCTTCCTTTAAGGAAGCCATGTTGCTGGCTGGTGAGCAGCAGATTTTGGTTTGGATGGGATATTAGTCTGTTAAGGACAATTTGTTCAAAGATCTTAGAGAAGGTCGGTATAAGTGAAATTGTTCTGTAACTTTTAGCATCTGTGTTTGGTCCACTTTTATATTTAGGGTATACATTGGCAGTTTTCAGCTGTGTTTGGAAGACCCCTTGTTTGAGAGACTTATTTATGAGTGCTGTTAGTGGGTTAATTAGTTCATTTATGCATGTTTTGAACAGTTTGGCTGATATTTCATCAGTGCCAGATGAAGTTTTTGGTTAAAGTGAGTCTATTGCTTTTAGTACTTCGTTACGTGTTGCAAGCTGAAATTTTAGTTTGTTATCTGTTGAAGGAGGAATTTCGGGGGTTCTGGTGTGTGTGTTGGTGTTGTTGGCCTGAAGTGTCCTTTCTGCAGCTGTAGCAAAAAAAAAACTGTTGAGGTGGTATGCTATTTTGATTGGGTCCTGTAATGTCTCTCCATCTACTAGGTGTTCCCACTCATTTGCTATACTGGTACCTACTTGATTTTCTCTCATTATTTATTACCTGCCAGAGTGCCTTGGACTTTTTGTCGGCATTGCTTATATAGTCGGATGTTTGAGTTTTCCTCAAAGTCTTTAGTCTTAGGTCATATATATATATATATATATTTTAGTCTAGAGCATTCAGCATCTCAGAAGCTTTTTTTTTGTTGTATTGTTTTTTCCTTGTGCAACATTTTGTGTGGCAAATCCTCGACTTTGGAAGTAGCCTTTCCTGGATGTGAAATTGGGCGAGTACCCGTAAGCTCACGAGGACTCTTGGGGGTACCGGAACTTTCCGCAGTGTGAAGGCAACGGCTGGGCGCACTCCATCAGCCAATCCCTGTCTCTGAGCCCAAAAGGTATGGTTATCTAGAATGTGGGGGGTTCTCCACCAAGGAACCATGGAAATTGGAAACCATGGGGGGTTCTCAATTGAGTTAAGGGTGTCGCCACCTTTGGTGGATAGGTTCATCCGGGTGGGTCCCATTTCTATACCTGCCTCTTTTTGGGAAACCCTGATGGCCCGGCAGTGATGTTGGGTTAGATGGGCAAACGAAGTAGATCGGGTGCTGGGATCAAGCCCGCTGGGGGTATCTGGGGATCTATCGCCCTAGTTATCCCTGGTTTCCCAGCGAATAGGATGGCTTCGATCGGGTAGTGGTGTAAATAGGACGGTCCCCTTAATCCTGGCTTTGATGGCGGGTTATGGCCTGTCAGGAATTAGATAGGTCCCGAGTGTCGCTTGCACTATGTTGCACTCCATCATGGTCTGTCGGGGTTTCAGCCCTGGGGGAACCCAGTTGAAGGGACGTAAGACCAAGTAACCGGTATCCCTGGTTAGGATTGAGGGGCAACCCTCTTTCCGAAGGGTTGCTTCGGCAGCCGGTGAGCCTGATGACCTTAAGTCATCCACCCATGGTGTGTCTAGGGTTGGTGCGTATGCTCCGGCCCACACCATGGGGCCCGGGTATGTTTAATTATAGGTACTGGGTTTGCAGTTGGGGGGCTTTTTCTCTTTCGACACACAAAATGGATGGAATGGATGGATGGGGGGTACAGAATAGGATACCTAGCACTTTCAACCGAGCAGGAAATCAAAATTTGGTGGGGATGGACTGTGTTTGGTTCTGGAATCTGGTTCGAGCTCTAGTTGCACTATCCTGTTTGTTGTGACAACATGCCCACCTACAAAGAAGAGATTGCTGCCGCAGTTATAATTCTAATTTATTGCAGTAATTGAGCAACATTGACTTCACTATGTTCAGTCATGGTACTCACATTCATAAAAACCAACACAAACACTTTAGCAGTCTACAATAAACTGGTAATACAACAAAGTCTACTAAACTGAAACAATCGAAAAAACCCTCTAGCTAGAAAGAGACCACGTTTAGCACTGTTTAGTTTTGACAGTTGACATAGACAGTGTACTGCGCATGCGCAAGCTGTCATTAGTTGATCAACTTAGTCGCTGAACCGTACACACTCTAGTTTTTTGAGAAATCTGATTGCCCGGCGATAAAATGGTTGATCGGAAACCCCCAGGTTTTCGAGACATGTCCGAAAACCAAAATGTTGCCTGGCAACCTACAAATCGCCGTCAATCAAATTGACAGACCCACACACACACGGCGATATTTGTGCAATTTGATAAGCGCCGGTTGTCAAGCGACCGAGTGTCCTAGTGTGTACCGGCCCTTAGACAGCCAGTCTATATTTTGGTGGGCAATGGTGAGTTGGTATCTGCGAACTAGTGGGTGTTTCGATTGGTTGTCAACACTGTTTTTAGATTTTAGCGAATTTCCCTATAGGGAAGTAGCTATTACCGTAGGTGGCATGGTAAGACCTAGGCCCGGGACCGATTTACTTTTTCATTTTGATGTCCCCAGAGGCCGAAAACACCATTCGTTCAAATTTTTATATTGTATATATATCTATATAAAAGGCAAAGCCCTCACTGACTGACTGACTGACTCACTCACTCACTCACTCACTCACTCATCACTAATTCTCCCACTTCCCATTTACCTAGGAGGCTGGAATTCGGTACACCGATTCTTTGCGCATTAAATAGGGAAACTAAGTAGTTTTTATTCTGATCGGGCTTTCGGGCTCCGCCCCAGTGAATCTGGAGTTTCCCATGTTAACCTTATGATTTTTCATATTTAAAAGGAATTTCTTAACAGCTGTTTCAATTAAACAAGTTGGTTCTGTCTATGATGTTCAATAGCATTAAATTTACAAGGATTATTAACAGGGTG